TTCCTTCCAGAGGAGCAGCAGAGTTGGAGTCAGAGCTAAGTTCAAGTTGTAGATCTACTTTTTATATCTTGCCTAAGTTATTTAACTCTTCTGTGCCCCAATTCCTTGTCTATGACATGGGCACAACACTTTGTATTTTGTTTTTTGTTTTTTTTTTTTTTTGAGGAGGAGTTTTGCTCTTGTTACCTAGGCTGGAGTGCAATGGCGCGATCTCGGCTCACCGCAACCTCCGCCTCCTGGGCTCAGGCAATTCTCCTGCCTCAGCCTCCTGAGTAGCTGGGATTACAGGCACGCGCCACCATGCCCAACTAATTTTTTTGTATTTTTAGTAGAGACGGGGTTTCACCATGTTGACCAGGATGGTCTCGATCTCTCGACCTCGTGATCCACCCGCCTCGGCCTCCCAAAGTGCTGGGATTACAGGCTTGAGCCACCGCGCCCGGCCTGTTTTGTTTTTTTGAGATGGAGTCTCACTTTGTCACCCAGGCTGGAGTGCAGTGGTGCAATCTTGGCTCACTGCAATCTCTGCCTCCTGGGTTCAAGCAGTTCTCCTTCCTCAGCCTCCCAAGTAGCTGGGATTACAGGTTTCTGCCACCATGCCTGGCTAATTTTTGTGTTTTTAGTAGAGACAGGTTTTCACCATATTGGCCTGGCTGATCTTGAACTCCTGACATTAATTAAGTGATCTGTCTGCCTCAGCCTCCTAAAGTGCTAGGATTACAGATGTGAGCCACCACTTCCAGCCAATACTTTGTATTTTGTAAAGTGGTTGTGAAGATCAAAAAGGTAATGGAATTTGCAAAGGACTGGACACAGAATTGGTCCATAGTAAGCACTCAGTAAATGTTGGTTCCCTTCTTTTCCTATGACTTGGTAAGGAAGGGTGAGGTTTGTAAATCCATTTAATTGGATTTTTAGAATTCCTGTGAGAATCCTTTGGCTTTTAACGAGAGCATTTAGTCTAATGTATTTAATGAATTTACTGGTATATTCAGATTTTTTTTTTTTTTTTTTTTGAGATGGAGTCTCGCTCTGTCACCCAGGCTAGAGTGCAGTGGCGTGATCTCGACTCACTGCAGCTTCCGCCTCCTGGGTTCAAGCAATTCTTGTGCCTCAGCCTTCCTAGTAGCTGGGACTATAGACATGTGTCACCACACCTGGCTAACTTTTTCATTTTTAGTAGAGACAAGGTTTTATCATGTTGGCCAGGCTGGTCTTAAACTCCAGACCTCAGGTGATCCGCCCACCTCAGCCTCCCGAAGTTCTGGGATTACAGGCGTGAGCCACCTTACCCGGCCCCTTTTTCCTACTATACCAGTTTGAAAGTTAAATTCTCTTTTTATATTAGTATTATTTTAGTGATCTATCTAGCAATTACCAAGTGCATTCTTTTTTTTCCTTTTTTTGAGACAGAGTCTTGCTCTATTGCCCAGGCTCGAGTGTACTGGTGCCATCTTGGCTCACTGCAACCTCCACCTCCTGGGTTCAAACCTCAGCCTCCCTAGCAGCTCAGACTACAGGCACCCACCACCACACCCAGCTAATTTTTGCATTTTTTAATTTTTTTATTGTATTTTATTTTATTTTTTTTGAGACAGAGTATCACTCTTGTTACCCAGGCTGGAGTGCAATGGCGCGATCTCGGCTCACCACAACCTCCGCCTCCTGGGTTCAAGCAATTCTCCTGCCTCAGCCTCCTGAGTAGCTGGGATTACAGGCACGTGCCACCATGCCCAGCTAATTTTTTGTATTTTTAGTAGAGACGGGGTTTCACCATGTTGACCGACCGGGATGGTCTTGATCTCTTGACCTCGTGATCCACCTCGGCCTCCCAAAGTGCTGGGATTACAGGCATGAGCCACCGCGCCCGGCTAATTTTTGCGTTTTTTAGTAGAGACGAGGTTTCACCATGTTGGCCAGGCTGATCTCGAACTCCTGACCTTGTGATCTGCCCACTTCGGCCTCCCAAAGTGCTGGGATTACAGGATAAACCACCGTGCCCAGCCAGCCACACACACATTCTTTTTTTTTTGTTTTGTTTTGTTTTGTTTTGTTTTTTGAGACGGAGTTTCGCTCTTGTTACCCAGGCTGGAGTGCAATGGCGCGATCTCGGCTCACTGCAACCTCCGCCTCCTGGGTTCAGGCAATTCTCCTGCCTCAGCCTCCTGAGTAGCTGGGATTACAGGCACGCGCCACCATGCCCAGCTAATTTTTTGTATTTTTAGTAGAGACGGGGTTTCACCATGTTGACCAGGATGGTCTCTATCTCTTGACCTCATGATCCACCCGCCTCGGCCTCCCAAAGTGCTGGGATTACAGGCTTGAGCCACCGAGCCCAGCACACACATTCTTAACTTACCAAAGTGTCATGCTAATAAATACCTTTACAGGAAGGATAGTTTCCTGAGATGGAGACAGGAAGAGAGAACATTCCAGGCTAGATGAATGGAGAAACAAGCAGATGAACAGGGGAAGATTTAATTGCTATTTGAGTCAGAGTGGTGCTAGAGCAAGATGAGTGAGCTGGGGGTGGGTGGTTTAAAACCATCCAGGAAGGATGTCTTGGGCATGAAAAAGATCTTTGAGAAGAACAAGAATAACTCCTCCTTAACCCAGGAAAAGCAGTGATTTTCCTGAAGCTTCCCGGGAGGCAGTGGCAGAGTTTGGTCTGAAGCTGGTTGTCTTTAGCAGTCTATGTCCCTGCCTCTACACCTACCCTAGCCATGCTCACTCTGTCCCCTTTCTAGGAATTCCTCAATCTGCTTACCTGTCTAAATACTGCCCATTCTTCAAAACCTAGTTCCATTAAATCAATCCAACACATATTTTCTTTTTATTTTTGTATTTTGTATTATTATTATTATTATTATTATTATTATTATTGAGACGGAGTCTTGCTCTGTCGCCCAGCTGGAGTACAGTGGTGCAATCTCAGCTCACTGCAACCTCTACTGCCTGGGTTCAAGCAATTCCCCTCTCTCAGCCTCCCAAATAGCTGGGACTACAGAATTAAAGAATTGGTCTAAATAATTAGAGCACTTCAAGGTTTGGGCATTGGGGGTGGTCTAGAGGCAGGGAGGGGGACCCAGCCTTAGGGAATGATACTTAAGACCAAGGGAACAGACAAGGTGTTAAGATAAGGAACAACGGCCAGGAGCAGACACCCCTGGTTTGGGGCTAAACAAAGAGGATGACATGAAGCCCCAAAGCAGAAAACCTGAATCTAGTTGCCAAAATTAGAGGGAAGTGGTACTTTTTGCAAAGTTTTACTGATCCATTTGCCCTGGACCTTAAGGAGCAGGATAGGGGAGAATTCAAAATCAAGAAAAATCATTTTTAGAATAAGACAATCATCTTAGAATAAGAGTACACACTCTCTCCAGACTTCAGAGCCTCTCAGAGTGCAATGAGGTATCTCTGGGTCCTCCATCATTGCTTCACCTGAGGCCTGTCACAGAGAGGGCCTAGGCTGGGTGAATGAACAAAAGTGAATGCATGAAAAAGAGCTCTGGCAAATTAATCAACAAATACTAAGTGGCATTAACAGCATATAGTGGATTATGGGAATTATTTCAGGAACAATACTTGAGTCATGGTTCTGATATTTATCTTTTATTTATTATTATTTTTTTTTTGAGACGGAGTTTCACTCTTGTTACCCAGGCTGGAGTGCAATGGTGCGATCTCGGCTCACCACAACCTCTGCCTCCTGGGTTCAGGCAATTCTTCTGCCTCAACCTCCTGAGTAGCTGGGATTACAGGCACACGCCACCATGCTCAGCTAATTTTTTGTATTTTTAGTAGAGACAGGGTTTCACCATGTTGACCAGGATGGTCTCGATCTCTTGACCTCGTGATCCACCTGCCTCGGCCTCCCAAAGTGCTGGAATTACAGGCTTGAGCCACTGCGCCTGGCCCGGTTCTGATATTTATTATCTGTGTAAACAGGTAACTTGGTTTCCCTGTTTTCCATTGGTAAAATGAGGATGTTAATAGTATCTACTGGTGGGTGCGGTGGCTCATGCCTGTAATCTCAGCACTTTGGGAGGCTGAGGTGGGTGGATCACCGAATTCAAGACCAGCCTGACCAATATGGTTAAACCCTGTTTGTACTACAAATACAAAAATTATCTGAGCATGGTGGCATGCACCTGTAGTACCAGCTACTCAGGCGACTGAGACAGGAGAATTGCTTGAACCCGGGAAGCCGAGGTTGCAGTGAGCCGAGATCACAGCACTGCACTCCAGCCTGGGTGACAGAGCAAGACTCCGTCTCAATAAATAAATAAATAAAAGTACCTCGCAGGGTTTTATGAGGATGAAATAAATGAGATAACATGAAAAGTAACAATGCCTGGGACATACTGGGTGCTGAGAATATGTTATTGCTGTGAGGATTAAAGTGGGAAAGTGCGATGGTAGCTATGGCTGGGTAGCTTAGAGGCTCTCCACCTGATGCAGGTGCTCTGACAACCCCACAGTGTGCCTGCAGAAGGGATTCTTGGTCCCTTTACTCTCCTTCCCTGTTGGGGTAGGATTGTCTTTGCAAAGGGAACCAGGGGTCCCCCTCTAGTTGTTTTATGGGTCAGTCAGGGTCAGGGTACGGAGGGAATTCTGGCAGCTGGCTTTTGGTGATCGATCCTCTCATTGTGGGAGACCCAAGGCTGGTGGCTGGAGATCCTCTTTCTGCCTTATGTGGAACAGACAGGGCGCCCTCTCCTGATCAAAGGCGGGAACAGCACTAGGTCAGAGTTTCTGGGATGGGCCTCATCGGGTCTCACCGCCTGCAAAGGTGCTCTTCCTATTGCTGAAGTGTCCCCAACCGTCCTGGCAAGCAAAGTCTAGGGGAAGGGCGCCAAGGCTGGGAGGAAACTGGCTTAATGTTTTAGAAGGGCGGGGCTGGATAATTCGGTTAGAATGGAGGTGCGGGGCAGGAGAGACGGGCGGATGAGAAAGAGAAATCGGGCCCCTGTTGAATTAATTTTGTGTTCTTTCAACAGGTGATGGAACACAGCTGAGAGGTAAGGCGACAAGGTGGCCTATCCAACATGCTAAACCCAGGTGTCCAGCGCCCTTCCTGCTGCCCTCACACAGCCGAAATTATTGGGGGCAGACTTGGGCTGTAGAGCATGGCTGGAAGACACGCCAGATTTAAGGGGAGAGCCGGAGGTTGGGGGGGTCTCCAGAAACGGGGAGGAGCCAGCGGAGGATCTGGGCGCAGTTTCCTCTCTAAGTTCCGCCCCGAGAGCGCCGGCCCCGCCCCCGCCGTTCGCGCTCCGACCAGTCCGCGGAGGCCGCCCTAGACCCCGGCCCTCCCGGGATCCCGGGTTCGGCCGGCAATCTCGCCACCACCGTCTCGGTGAGTATGGGCGTGGGTGTGCTGAGCCGCCGGGTAGCCCCACTCGGGGGAGCTTGGCCGCGCGGTCCGGCCTCTGCAGGGCTGGGCCCCATGCTCTGGGAGTCCTGGTGCCTGCCCTCCTAATCTTACACACTGTTTCCCGGGAACTGCTGCTCTCTGGACTTGGCCAAGCTGGCCCCCTTCTCCCTCGCCAGCCTGGGGCCGGTGTGCAGGGGTTTCTCTCTCTCTCTATTCCGAGGAGCCTCCTGGTCAGGAGTCCTAGGTGGGGAAGATGGGACCCCGGGAGTGGGACCCCATGACTAGTTTTGAATGGCAGCTCTGCCATTCAAACTTGGCCTTGAGTGTTTTGAACCGCCCTAAGCCTCAGTTTCCTCATCTGTAAAATGGAAATATACAGGCTATAGCACCTACTTCATAGAATTACGGTAAGGATTAAAAGGGACAATGTATATCAAGTACATAGCAGGGGACCTAGTATTCCGTAGGCAGTCAGTAAATGTGGATTCAGACTCGAGGCTGAGAAGATCTCTAGGGATTTTGGAGCTTAGGTAGCTCCAAAGAAAGCAATTTTCAGCTAAGTAGTACCTGTGAGGAAGGTAGAGCTGTCTGCAGGCTGAACAACTGCCCTTCAGCTCCACCCTGAGGTGTGGAGTAGAATGACCAAGTTGAAAGGACCTTAGAAGTAATCTGAACATGTGATTCTCATGTTGCAGAACTGTGGAAACAAATCCTGAGTGGTTAAATGGCTTGCCCAAGGTCACACAGCTAAATGGGAGGCCAGGCATACCTCCAAGCATTGGAACAGACTGTCCTTTGAACCTCCTCGTCAACCCCTGATTTGGGCAGTGCCTCTTCATTCCCTGAAGATCTAGTCTTCAATTTGGGAATCCTAGTGGTTCCTGAGGAATCTAGAGCTGCAGCCTTCAGGGTGGGATGTTGGGAGGGAACACTAGTGCTACTGCAACAGCAGTCTGGGTTTGGGCTGAGTGAGGAAGATGTTCCCTGTCTAGAGCCTTAAGAGACTTAAGAGTCCATTTAGGGATGATCCAGGGAAGGTGTTTGTTTTTTTTCTGGGTCACTAGCTCCCTGGGGAGATCCTTGATACCCCAAAAAGGGAGAGAGGAACTTGAGCAATTGGAGTAGGCTGCCCGATCAGGCCTGGCAGCTGGAAGGAAATGGGTGAGAATGTAGAGGCGTAGCCACCTGGTGTGTTCTGGAATGCCAGGATGCCAACCTAACTGAGAAAAAAGGCTCTTTTTGAGGGTGGAACTAAAGGAGAGAGTCCTGTGGGAGGGGTCAGGAAGAGTTGGGATTTGATTTGACAAGGCCTTTGAGCCCAGAAGGGCATGTTCTTTATGTGTCTGGAGCCAGCCCTAGCTTAGCAACAATAAGCCAACGTTCCAGGGATGGCTTTCCCTCTGGCTTAGCATAGGGCTTTGAGGAAGAGCCTTTCTCTCACTGAGTGTCTTGACCTCTCTGTCTTTACAATGGGAATAGGACTAATTGGCTTATCTATGTAGAATTTGGTTTTTCCTTTTTTTACCTCCTTTGAACAGGCGCTTCTGCTTCTCTCACTCCAGTCCTAACCTGACCTTTCTGTCTTGAACTCTGATCCAGAGAGGAAGGGGTCAAGGAAGGCCAGAGTTGCAGTGTGTAACTCTTCTGGGTCACATATGTATCTGTTTGCTCTGTGATCCTGAGCAGATTCCTGCCCCGACTTTCTCTTTTGTACACTGTGGGGATCTGGGCTAGGATTGTTGGTATACACTTAGTTATTATAGTTCCTGACCATAGCTACCCTTATCTAAGGGAGAAATCACAGTCCTCAGGAACCCTCATCTGTTCACAGGAGGGTGGCAGACAGCCCTCTGGGCACTGGGAAGCCTCCAGAAGCTGACCAAGCAGCTCTTTCCAACAAACAGCAAGCCCAGGCTAGCACCAGACCTGATTCTGCAAAGCCTTTCACCCTCAGGGCACGTGAGGGAGCAGGCTGGGACAAGCAGGGAGCTCAGGGTTCTGTCAGCTTCCATGGAATCTCTGCTGCTGTGGACTGTGGTGTAGGCATCCAGAGCACACAGAGCCTGGGAGGGGACTGAAGGTGCAGGAGGGAGCAGGGCCAGTGGGGAAGCAATAAAAGCTGTTGAGAGGCCCTGCAGCCTGGAGGCTGGGCCTGAGGCTCAAAGGCCTAGGGGAGGAGATGGGCCATTTCATCCACTGGTATGTTTTAGGGTTTTTGTTTGTTTGTTTGTTTGTTTTTTGAGACAGAGTTTCACTCTTGTTGCCCAGGCTGGAGTGCAATGGCATGATCTCAGCTCACTGCAACCTCCCCCTTCTGGGTTCAAGTGATTCTCCTGCCTCAGCCTCCCAAGTAGCTGAGATTACAGGCATCTGCCATCACACCTAGCCAATTTTTGTTTTTTTAGTAGAGATGGGATTTAACCATGTTGGCCAGTCTGCTCTCCAACTCCCGACCTCAGGTGATCCACCCATCTCAGCCTCCCAAAGTGCTGGGATTACAGGGGTGAGCCACCATGTTGGCCTAAGGTTGGTTCTTGAAATAAGGAGAGACTAGTTAAAGCAGCTCCTGTAGTCCTAGGCCTGTCAAGGTAGGTAGAGATGGGTGAGGAGAAGCTCTCCCAATCCATTCAAGCTTCATCCTAGCACAGATTTGGTTCATTGTCTTCCCTCTGAAATTGAGGTGGAATGTTGTCTTGGGATTCTGAGTCAGTTTTCCTCATCCAGGGCAGGAGCTATCCAAGTTTAGGTGACTTCTTACTCAGACTGCCCACCCCATAGCATACAGCTGAGTTTAGGACTGAGCACAAGGGCTGACTTTATCACTGAGTCCCAGCCTTGCTGCCTGGGGCCCTGACAGCATGCCACTCCATCCCCAGGTCTGACAAGATGTACCAGGTCCCACTGCCACTGGACCGGGATGGGACCCTGGTACGGCTCCGCTTCACCCTGGTGGCGCTGGTCACGGTCTGCTGTCCACTTGTCGCCTTCCTCTTCTGCATCCTCTGGTCCCTGCTCTTCCACTTCAAGGAGACAACGGCCACACACTGTGGGGTAGGGCATGGGGACACTGATACCTCATATTCAGGTTGATCTGGATCTTCTTTAGATCTTGAATCTCTTTTAACAAGATTAGCCAGCTTTCCATTGGGGCTCATCAAACATACGGGGCTGCTGGGGGGATGCTTGCAAATTGATATCTCAAGGGTTATTCTCACTCCGCCTTCTGGAGGCTGGAGTCACCGAAGTGGGCAGACCAAGAGCCAAATCCTTACTTTATAGAAGAGCAGATTGTGGAACCCCAGGGTTTTCTGGGAAGTGGAGAGAGAAAAGGACTGGGCTACAGAGTATTTTGGGTCTCTTAATGTAGCACTGTGCACTTGTGCCTGTCTCTGTGGGAATGTGATTCAGTATACGTGTGGGTGATTGTGAGGGGCATGGCACTATATAATGGCTTTGAGTGGAGTATGTATGTGAGAGAGACTATATCTGTGCCTGTCTGCATGGAGGTCTGATGTGTACATGTGTATATGTCCTGGGGTGAGTCCCATGCCCTCTGAGGTTCCATAGATATCTGTGTACCCTCTGGACAGGGATACAGAAGAAAGATGTAAGACTACTTTCTCTAGGATATCAGAGTAAATGGGGTGGGACATGTGTCAAACTCTGTAGTGCTCCTAATTCATTGACTGACTCTATATTACCTGAGACACAGAGACTCAGCCTCAGTTTCCTCATGTCTGAAATAGAATTAATTAGCTGGGCATGGTGGTGTGCATCTGTAGTCCTAGCTCCTCGGGAGCCTGAGGTGGGAGGATCACTTGAGCCTAGAAGTCTGAGGCTGCAGTGAGCTATAGTTGTCCCACTGCACTCCAGCCTCATGACAGAGTGAGACCCTCATCTCTAAAAAATAAAACAAAATAGAGTTGATAATTCCTGTCCTGCTCCATCCCAGGGCTAGTGTAGAGCCCTAGGTAGAGGAAGGATGGGAAGGTAGTTTAGGGAAGATGAAGTGTGAGGAGCAGAAGGAGGAGAAGAGACTGTCAGGTTGGAAGGCAGGAAGTGATCTTAGCCTGGGTGCTCTTGGTGAAGAAGAGGCAGATTCTGCACATGGACCCTTGGGCTCCCTCAGAGTTCTGAAGGCCCCCTAGCCAGCTGAATCCCCCCTTCCTGTAAAAAGCATCTGCTTCAGAGAAATGGCTAGGACTAGCAGTGGGGTCTAGCTGCAATATGGGGTGGAGCCCCACTTTTTTTTTTTTTTTTTTTAAAGTCACACTCTGTTGCCCAGGTTGTAGTGCAGTGGCATGATCTCAGCTCACTGCAACCTCCGCCTCCCGGGTTCAAGCAATTCTCCTGCCTCAGCCTCCTGAGTAGCTGGGATTATAGGCGCACACCACCACACTCGGCTACTTTTTGTACTTTTAGTAGAGATGGGGTTTCACCATGTTATGAGGGTCTCAAACTCTTGAACTCGTGATCTGCCTGCCTCAGCCTCCCAAAGTGTTGGGATTACAGGCGTGAGCCACAGAGCCTGGCCCAAGGGTGGAGCCCCACTTCTTTTCTTCATGTGACGAAGTTTTCCCTCCTCCTCATTTTTCAGTGGGTAGACAAGGGCGTTGAGGTATGGACACCCAATCTGATGAGACCCAGGGCTGGGAGCTATCAGAAATAACAAAACCGGAAGAAAGGGGTGACCAGGTGATCTGAGGGGAGGATTACCCTTTCCTGACCTAGTGTTTATCTCAGATAATGCATCAGATGTACTTGTTACCCTAGCGACTCCTGATCACCAGGCAAAACCCTGCCCATCTAGCTCCAAAACGTCTCGATATCCTCCGTGGAGCTAACTTAATCACTCCCTCCTCTGGGTGCTCACGATTCCCTATGTTATCACTCTGTCACATCATATTTGTGTCTGTCTTTCCCACCAGATGAGGATCTCCTTGAGGAGACACTGCATTTGAGTGAGAAAGTATTTGGGTTTTTTTGTTTGTATTAGAGGTGGGGTCTCATTCTGTTGCCCAGGCCACGGTACAGTGGTGTGATAATAGCTCACTGCAGTCTCAAACTCCTGGGATCAATCAGTCTTCCTAACCTCAGCCTCCTGAGTAACTAGGACTGCAGGTGTGAGCCACCACACCTAGCTTGAACTCCTAACCTTGTGATCTGCCTGCCTCGGCCTCCTGAAGTGCTGGGATTACAGGCATGAACCACTGTGCCCAGCCAACACACCCAGCTTAATTAAAAAAATTTTTTGTGTGTGGAAACGGGGTCTCACCATGTTGCCTAGGCTGGAGTGCAGTGGCATGATCATAGCTCACTGCAGCCTCAACCACCAGGGCATAAGCGATCCTCCTTCCTCAGCCTCCTGAGTAGCTAGTATTATAGGTGTGCACCACAATGCCCACCTAATTTTTGTGTATATGTGTGGAGATGGCATCTCACACTGTTGCCCAGGCTGGTCTTGAACTCCTGACCTCAAGTGATCCTCCCACCTCGGCCTCTCAAAGCGCTGGGATTATAGACGTGAGCCACTGTGCCTGGCCAGAAAGTGTTTGTTGAATATATGATTAGGACTCCCTAGCCCAGTACTCTGGGGAAAGGAAGGCATGGTATAAGTCAATCATAGTCCAAGCAATATTATAATATTTGTATGGCATATGAAGTTAAACAGACTAGGCTATTTGTTCTGCCCCTTGTGGCTGACGCTGAGGGCTAATAGGATCAATAACCTATTAGCTAGGTTATTGTATACCTGGCGTACCTGTTATCTGTTCTTGGCATACCAGTTAGGGAATTAAGATATAGATAGTTGCTGGAGTACTTGGTCCCTCTGGAGCAGTACTAGGTCTGTGACCATGAGGGCATGTTGTCCCCACTCCCTGGGACTACAGTGTTGGTTTCACCTGGGAATGTTTTTTTTTTTTTTAGATGGAGTTTTACTCTTGTTGCCCAGGCTGGAGTGCCATGGCGTGATGTTGGCTCACTGCAACCTCCGCCTCCTGGGTTCAAGCGATTCTCCTGCCTCAGCCTCCCGAGTAGCTGGGATTATAGGCATGTGCCACCATGCCCTGCTAATTTTGTATTTTTAGTAGAGACGGGGTTTCTCCACGTTTGGTCAGACTGATCTCGAACTCCTCACCCCAGGTGATCTGCCCGCCTCAACCTCCCAAAGTGTTGGGATTACAGGCTTGAGCCACTTCGCCTGGCTCCACCTGGGAATTTTTATATTTGCTCTGAATTTCCCACTCAGAGTATCCCAGAAATGGACAGCCCTAGGAATAAAAGAAGCAAGCTAATCCAACTTATCTATAATTGATTACTTTGCCTCTACTGACATATTCCCAGTGATGGGGAGCTTCCTTCCTCCCCAGGTAGGGTCTTCTAAGGAAGCTTAATAACTAATAATTAGCAAGCGTTTTTCTTTCTTTCTTTCTTTTGAGACAGAGTCTCCCTATGTTGCCCAGGCTTGAGTGTAGTGGCATGATCTCAGCTCGCTGTAACCTCTGCCTCCTGGGTTCAAGCAATTCTTCTGCCTCAGCCTCTCAAGTAGCTGGGATTATAGACACCAGCCACCATACCTGGCTGATTTTTGTATTTTTAGTAGAGACGGGGTTTCACCACCTTGGCCAGGCTGGTCTCCAACTCCTGACCTCAGCCTCCCAAAGTGCTAGGATTAAAGGCATGAGCCACTGTGCCCAGCGTCTTTTTTTTTTTTTTTTTCCAAATAGAGATGGGGTCTCACTATGTTTCCCAGGCTGGTCTTGAACTCCTGAGCTAAAGTGATCCTCCTGTTTCAGCCTGTCAGAGTGCTAGGATTACAGGCTTGAGCCGCTGTGCCTAGCCCAAGCTTTTTCTTTCTTTTTTTTTTTGTGAGACAGGGTCTTGCTCTGTCACCCAGGTTGGAGTGCAGTGGCACGATCTTGGCTCACTGCAACCTCTGCCTCCTGGGTTCAAGCCATTCTCATGCCTCAGTTTCCTGAGTAGCTGAGATTACAGGCATGCACCACCACACGCCCAGCTCATTTTTTAGTAGAGACGGAGTTTCACTATGTTGGTCAGGCTGAAGCTTTTTCGTTTTGTTTTTTTTCTTTTTTTTGAGATGGAATCTTTGTCTGTTGCCCAGGCTAGAGTGCAGTTGTGCAATCTTGGCTCACTGCAACCTCTGTCTCCTGGGTTCAAGTGATTCTCCTGCCTTGGCCTCCCGAGGAACTGGGATTACAGGTTCCTGCCACTGCACTAGGCTAATTTTTGTATTTTTAGTAGAGACGGGGTCTTGGCCAGGCTGACCTTGTGATCCACCCACCTTGTCCTCCCAAAGTGTTGGGATTATAGGCGTGAGCCACTGCACTGGGCCTGAAGCTTTTTTTTTTTTTGAGACGGAGTTTCACTCTTGTTACCCAGGCTGGAGTGCAATGGCACGATCTCGGCTTACTGCAGCCTCTGCCTCCTGGGTTCAGGCAATTCTCCTGCCTCAGCCTCCTGAGTAGCTAGGACTACAGGCACGTACCACCATGCCCAGCTAATTTTTGTATTTTTAGTAGAGACGGGGTTTCACCATGTTGACCAGGACAGGATGGTCTTGATATCTTGACCTCATGATCCACCCACCTTGGCCTCCCAAAGTGCTGGGATTATTGGCGTGAGCCACTGTGCCCGGCCTCTTTTTTTTTCTTTTTGAGACAGAGTCTCGCTCTTTCGCCAGGTGCTAGGCTAGAGTGCAATGGCGCAATCTCAGCTCACTGCAATCTCTGCCTCCCAGCTTCAAACAATTCTGCGTTAGCCTCCTGAGTAGCTGGGACTACAGGTGTGCGCCACCATGCCCAGCTAATTTTTGTATTTTAGTAAAGACAGTTTCACTATGTTGGCCAGGCTGGTCTCAATCTCTTGACCTTGCCATCCGCCCACCTCAGCCTCCCAAAGTGCTGGGATTACAGGTGTGAGCCTCCGCACCCGGCCGAAGCTTTTTCTTATAGTGAGTATGTACTTACTTTCCAGTGAATCTCTGCCTTGGCCCTGGCTCTGCTTTGGTAGCCATAGAACTATTCTCTTCTCGTGGCTTCAGGTCAGCCCTAAAGAGACAAGGAGACAGTAACGAGGGCCCTTCAGTCTATCTTCTTAGGTAGTATAGCTCCAGTTTTTTCAGGCAACCTTCCCAGCACATGGTCTCCAGGCTTTTCCCTACCCTGAATGTGCCCTTGAACTTAGCTCCATTATTCACTATTCTCTGCTGGGCGTTGATTTGGGTATAGGACTCCAGGTGGCCTGGGCAGTACAGGCAAAAGCAGGACTGTTCATTCCTATTCCTGGCTGTTAGAATTCTGTTGATGCAGCTGGAGCTGCCATTAGCTGTTTCTGTACAGGTACAGGCTGAACACTGATACTTCATATTCAGGCTTGTCTAGGTCTCTTTTGCATTCTGATTCTATCATCATAGGATTTCATAGGATTTAGCCATTTCTCCAGTGAGGCCCAACAAGTCCTCTCAGTCCTGCTCTAACGAAAAAGGGCCAGATCCTTTTCTGCTTTCTCTGTTTCCCTTCCTAGAAACCTGCCTATATACCTGGACACAACTCTTAAAAAGGTCCCTGCCCCCATCACTACCAAATAAGCTATTGCCAGCTGACCTCAACCACTATCACTTCTTACCTTTGCAGAGTGTTCTAGGATTTATGACATATGCTTGTTGATCCTGGGAAGGATGTGTGCCTGGGCAGGCATGGAGAACTGGGTACTGTGGGCGGGAGGGCAGGCCCTGAGGAGCAGGGGGTGGGACCCTCCAGTCTTAGAACAGTCCCAGTCTGGCTGCAGCCTTCAACCCAAACCCCGGATTCTTCAGCACCAAGTGTGAGTGTTGCTTAGTGAGGCCCCCACCCCCACCCCATTCCTGGGTCTCCTTAGTGGAGGGAAGCATGAGTCCCGAGGGGAGATTGGGTCCTAGGTCTTTTAATATTAAGTCATATCTGTCTGCCCCAGCTTGGTCTAGAGGGAAGCCCAGCTTGAGGAGTCATGGTGGTCAGGCAGTGGGGGTTGTTGGGGGAGTTGTCTGCCAGGAGGAGAAGGGAGTGGAAGAAGCTCAGTTTCCCATGTCTGAGTCTGATCTGGACAGAGGCCTCCTGGATCTGGCCTAGGACAGCAGGCTCAAGCTCAGTAGAGAAGGTTTCCGTGACCCTCCAATTCTCCCAAACCTTGGATTGGGTGATATTGGTCTCCTCAGAGAGGGAGGAGATGGAAGTCTCCTCAGAGAGGGAGCAGATGGAGGTCTGAGCCTCCACAGGGACGCTGGGACTGTGGGTCTCTGTTGAGGATCAGGGTACTGTTGGCCTGAGGCTTGGATCATTCAGAGCCTGGGGGCAGGATGGCTGGCAGCCTGTGGCCCATTGAAATAGGTTCTGGGCACTCCCTCTGTTCCTAGTTGAACTTGGGTAAGGAGCAGGAATGTGGTCAGACAGGGTCAGTGGGAGGGCTTTGGTCCTACTGAGCCAACAGTCCTTTGTTAGTTGGCCTGAAAGAAGCCTTAACTTAGAACCTGAAGCTGTCAGGTGGCAAGAGGCCTTAGTCCTGGTGTTTGATCCTGGCATAGTTCTGGGCTTCAGTCTCCCCTTCTGTGGAATGGAAATAATAACCTTTCTACCTCTGACCCTTCTTCTGAGTGGCTGTGAGAGTTGTGAGAGTGAGGTGGGCTCTAACAAAAAGAGCTCCCTGTGCAAGCCACCGGAAGCCTCTCTCTAGACTTTTCAAGAGATGGACCAGGAGTATCAGTGTTCCAAGGGGATTCCTAAGTGCTGACCCTGCCTGCTGCTCCTGTCCCATCTCCCTCTGATCCTTCTCCTCTGCACTGTCTTCCTTTTTCCTTTACACCTTTTCTACCCTTTCTGCTCTGGCTCTTCCTTATACTCTGAGGAGCCATCTCTGGAAAAAGCCCCACTTTCCCAGGCCCAGGTATCCTACCAGGCCCCAAGTTATATCCCTCGTGCTGCTTAGGTCACTCCCTACAGGATGTTCTCTGCGGCCTCCCAGCCCTTGGACCCCGATGGGACCGTGTTCCGGCTTCGCTTCACAGCCATGGTCTGGTGGGTCATCACTTTTCCTGTGTTCGGCTTCTTCTTCTGCATCATCTGGTCCCTGGTGTTCCACTTTGAGTACACAGTGGCCACTGACTGTGGGGTGAGTGCCAGCTCCCCAGCCCCTGGGTCAGGGCCAGGTCAGGAGGTGGCAGTTAGGGTAGAATTAGAGAGTGGAGAGGAAGTGGAGGGTCAGAGAGGGGTAAAGGGACAAGGGGATGGGGGGAAGGGTCAGTAAGACAGCGTTGGGGAGAATTCATGGGGGAGACTCAGAATAAAATCACAGTCTTCCCCTAGTTAGGAGATGATGATAGAAATGCAAGGGATAGGCTGGACAGGGTGGCTCATGCCTGTAATCCCAGCACCTTGGGAGGGCAAAGCCAGCGGATCACCTTAGCTCAGTTTGAGACCAGCCTGGGCAACATGGTGAAACCTGTCTCTACAAAAAATGCAAACAAATTAGCTGGGTGCAGTGGCACGCCCCTGTAGTCCCGGCTACTTGGGAGGCTAAGGCAGGAGAATTGCTTGAGCCTGGGAGGTGGACGTTTCAGTGAGCTGAGATCACGCCATTGTACTCTAGCCTGGGTGACAGGAGTAAAACCCTGTTTTACAGCTGGGTACTATGGCTCATGCCTGTAATCCCAGCACTTTGGGAGGCCAAGGCAGGTGAATCACCTGAGGTCAGGAGTTTGAGACCAGTCTGGTCAACATGGCGAAACCCTGTCTCTACTAAAAAATACAAAAAAATTAGCCAGGCATGGTGGTATGTGCCTGTAATCCCAGCTACTCTGGACACTGAGACGAGAATTGCTTGAACCTGGGAGAGGGAGGTTGGAGTGAGCCGAGATCACGTCAAAACAAAACAAAACAACAACAACAAAAAAAACAACAGTGCAAGGGAGTGGGGGGTTAGAAGGAGGTGATGGTGGAAAGGAAGGTATTGGAATGGGCAGGAGAGATCATAAGAGGAAGGAGGCAGATTGAAAAGGAAGCCAGGACTGAGGAGGTAAAGTAAAGCCTGAATATGGGAGATGTAACAGGTGTCTTTGGCCCAGACTCGGGGACTGACCTTTGAGGATCCATTCTCAGCTCTGATCTGGATCTTCAAGCTTTGTTTTTCCTACTGGCAGCCCCAGACCCCACAAACTGTGTCCAGTCAGGGATCTGCCAGCCAGAAACCTGGATCAGTCCACTAGACCTTTCTTGAGGGCCCAGGGGTAAAGCTTACGTGCTAGGGGCATGGACTTAGATATGGACTTGCCCTTAATATCTCATTGCTACAAGAATCAGTCCTTAGACACAGACTAACACAACATAGTGATCTGGGATTCCTATTGTGATAAAAAAGAGTACAGTGACTGTGGGGTTCAGAGGAGGCACTTCCCCCAGCTTGGACATTGGGGATCACTTTCTTCCTGGAGGAGGGGACATTGTTGCTCTGGGGTAAAGAAGTCTCTTTGTGAATGCCAGGCTGACAACTTTTGATTTTATCTAGAGGGCAATTTTTATCAAGAGCTTTGGAAAGATTTTAGGCAGGAAAGGGACATGATCAGATTTGTGCTTTATGTATGTATTTATTTAGAGACAGGATCTCACCCTGTCACCCAGGCTGGAGTACAGTGGTGTGATCTTGGCTCATTGCAGCCTTGACCTCCTGGGCTCAGGTGATTCCTCACCTCAGCCTCAGCCTTGGTTAGCTGGGACTACAGGTGCATGCCACCACGCCTGGCTAATTTTTGTATGTTTTGTAGAGATGGGGTTTTGCCATGTTGCGTCAGCTGGAGATTTGTGCTTTAGAAGACCATTCTTACTTCAGAGTAGAGAACAGCTTTAAGAGCAAGGGCAAGAGTAGGGTATAAGGAGGCTAGTGCAGTAACTCATGCTGCTAGGGGAACCAGAGCTAAGATGCAGACTGACTGTGAGGATAGAGAGGAGGGATGGAGGCTAGAAAGGTGTAGAAAGTGGGATTGACACAATTGGAGTTTTTATGCAGTTGGCACAAGGTGGTAGACAGTAGGGTAGCTAGAGAAGGCGTCTATACAGTGGGCGGACTTTTACCTAAGACCAAAGGAATGAATATTCTGTGAGGCTCTGTGAAAGGGGATGTTGGGGAACTCTATCTTTATACCATATGAGCTTCTGATCTGCTGTTCCATCAGAAAGTGCTTGTCTCCCCATGTCTCAGTACTCTTAACTCTGGGCTCATAGGGAGGTTTGAGGTAAATTGTGTACCTGGTTTCTCATAGCTCCTGATACTGCTTATTGCTGGTGCAGTAGGTGAGTAGGGAACTTGTGTGCTGGGGCTGGGGCTGGGGGGAGGAGTACATGTACCTGATTATGTGTATGTGTCTGTGTGCTTGTGTGTGTATGTGATGGAAGAGACAGTCCTTGCTCTTAGAATCCCACCCTCATCCCTAATCTGAGAGAAGTTCATGAAGACAGGACCAGCAGCCCCAATGCCCTAACTCTTCCTCCTGAGGCCTTCCACAAACTCCGTGTCATTTTTCCCCAGTACTCGTTCCCAACAGTGGTCAGGATCCAGGGCCCTTGAATCCTGTTGGCTTTCTCAGTCAAGCTTTAGTTGCTGGTCCTGTTTTTCTTAAAGTAGCAGAGATTGGGGAGTTTTCAGAATGAATATTCCAGGAAGCAGAGGCAACACTCACACTAATCCAACTCAGAGTAACAATAAGACAAAAATCAAGTAAGGAGAATTGGAGCCCTGAAAAGTGTCTGATGAAGATATGGTTCCTGCCTGTCACCCATAAGCAGAACTTCCCATGCTCTATGCCATGTAGCTCACAGCCTTTTTGCATTCTTTAGAGAGAATTTTGTTTTCTGAAAGCCATCACTTATTGTACCTACTACATGCCAGAGCAGATGTTTTACACACTTTATATTAGAATTCATAAAGAACTTTCAACCCAGAATTTCATATCCAGCCAAACTAAGCTTAAAAAAAAAAAAAAAAAAGTAGAATTCATGTGGTTGGGCATGTTGGCTCACACCTGTAATCTCAGTACTTTGGGAGGCCAAGGCAGGTGGATCACTTGAGGTCAGGAGTTCAAGACCAGCCTGGCCAACATGGTAGAACCCTGTCTTTACTAAAAATACAAAAATTAGCTGGGTGTAGTGGGGAGCACCTCTAGTCCCAACTACTTGGGAGGCTGAGGCATGAAAATTCTTTGAACCTGAGAAGCAGAGGTTGCAGTGAGTCAAGATTACGCCACTGCACTCCAGCCTGGGTGACAAAGCAAGACCCTGTCTCAAATAAATGAATGAATGAATGAATGAATGGAATTCATAAACACACTGCAAGGTAGGTGGTGGTATACCCATTTTACCAATGAGGAAATTGGAGCTCAGAGTGGTGAAGTGACATGCTCAAGGTCACCCAGCTAATAGAGGCAGAACTGGGATGCAGATCCAGCTTTGTGTTCATGAGCTTCCATGGTGCCCCTTCACATTACTCAGAGTGAAATACCTGAGACTGGTCTCAAGCTATGACATCTCAAGCTATGGCTTTGAGAGTAGCATCTTCTCTCCCAGAGCTCTGCATTTAGCTTTCCCTGATAGTGCAGGGGGAATCCATCTTCTTTTTTCTGGAGGCTATGAAGCCCCCTGGCTAGTCTTGCCTCAGGCCTACCTGTGGGCTGCCCTGTGAGCTGCCTGCAGCATTGCTCAGTTTCTTAGCAGTCCAGCATCTCCACTGAAAGAAAGGAATGATGGTCCTTCAGAACTCCACTTCCAAAGACTGTCCCTCCGTAGTTGGAGCAAGGTCATTCCCTTGCCGGGTTGCTAGGCTCTGGCACTGCACTGGCCCTCGTTGGAGGTCTGCAAAAGTGCACAAAAAGTGTGGGCAATGGACTGGCCATTTTCACAGTTTTGGAATCTTAAAAATGCGTATTCTGGCCTGGCGCATACCTGTAATCCCAGCACTTTGAGAGGTCAAGGTAGGGGGATTGTTTGAGTCCAGGGGTTCTAGATCAGCCTGGACAACATGGTGAAACTCTATCGCTACTTAAAAAAAAAAGTACAAAAAATTAGCCAGGCATGGTGGTGGCTACTCAGGATGCTGAGGTAGGAGAATCACTTGAGCCCAGGAAGTAGAGGCTGCAAGTGAGCTGAGATCGTGCCACCGTACTTCAGCCTGGGCAACTGAAGTGAGACCCTGTCTCAAAAAAAAAAAAAAAAAAAAAAAAAAATGCAGATTCTAGCCAGGTGAGGTGGCTCACACCTGTAGTTCAGCACTTGGGAGGCCAAGGCAGATGGATAGTTTAAACCCAGGAGTTCGAGACCAACCTGGGACATATGACAAAACCCTGTCTCTACAAAAAATATAAAAATTAGCCTGCTACTCAGGAGGCTGAGGTGGGAGGATCACCTGAGCCCAGGAGGTCAAGGCTGCAGTGAGTCATGATCATGCTATTGCACGCCAGCCTGGATGGCAGAGTGAGACCCTATCTCATAAAGCGGGGAAAGAACCTGAAAAAAAAAAAACTTAAAATGCACATCCTTAGGTTCTAAGCCTTCTGTATTTTCTTTTCTTTTTTTTTTTTTTTTTTTTGAGATGGAATCGCTCTGTCGCCCAGACTGGAGTGCAGTGGCACAGTCTTGGCTCACTGCAACCTCCACCTCCCAGGTCCCTGTTCAAGCAATTCTCCTGCCTCAGCCCCTCCTGAGTAGCTGGGACTACAGGCGCATGCCACCACACACAACTAATTTTTGTATTTTTAGTAAAGATGTGTTTTCACCATGTTGGCTAGGATGGTCTCGATCTCTTGACCTCATGATCCACTCGCCTAGGCTTCCCAAAGTGCTGGGATTACAGGCATGAGCCACCATGCCCTCCCCCTTTTATCTTCAGCTTTAAGGAGTGAGGCTTCAGTAGGAGTTCCAGGCATTGAGAAAGATGGATGGTGGAGATGCACAAGAATATGATCATTTCCTTAGACTACACCAGGTTAGGAGCACCCACTTTCTTTCTTCATTCTTTTTTTTTTCTTTTTTGAGATGGAGTCTCTCTCTGTTAGCTCTATTGCCAAGGCTAGAGTGCAGTGGTGTGATCTTGGCTTACTGGAACCTCCACCTCCCAGGTTCAAGTAATTCTCCTGCCTTAGCCTCGTGAATAGCTGGGATAACAGGTGCTGACCACCACACCTGGTTTTTTTTTTTTTTGAGACGGAGTTTCACTCTTGTTACCCAGGCTGGAGTGCAATGGCGCAATCTCGGCTCACCACAACCTCCGCCTCCTGGGTTCAAGCAATTCTCCTGCCTCAGCCTCCTGAGTAGCTGGGATTACAGGCAAGCGCCACCATGCCCAGCTAATTTTTTGTATTTTTAGTAGAGACGGGGTTTCACCATGTTGACCAGGATGGTCTTGATCTCTCGACCTCATGATCCACCCGCCTCGGCCTCCCAAAGTGCTGGGATTACAGGCTTGAGCCACGGTGCCCGGCCTCACACCTGGTTTTTTGTAGTAGAGACGGGGTTTCACCATGTTGGCCAGGCTGGTGGTCTTGAACTCCTGACCTCAGGTGATCCACCCACCTTGGCCTCCCAATGTCTTGGGATTACAGGTATGAGCCGTCATGCCTGGCACATCCACTTTCTTAATCATGATCAGAGCAGGGTTGCCATTCTACCACCTTAGTACACCTGCCTAGAGGAGTGAGTGGCGCTGGGAGCAGACTGAGGAACATCTCAGCTGAGCAATGAATCCAGCACTGTTCTAAGGAAGCTCAGATGTTCTGTGACTCATTTCTGTCCTCTCGACTAAATCTGAGGTCTTGGAACTCACCCAGGGTCTTATCGGTGGCACAGCTCTGAGCTAAGGGTGTAGGGAGCATCTGAACCCATCTACATACTGCCCAAACACAGGCAGGGTCCAGTCTGTGGGAGAGAAGAAGGTCCCACCATGCCCCTGCACAAGTCCCAGGCTAGCTGGGGAATGAGAAGCACATTGGGCCCAGGAGCTGGAAAGAGAGGTCTCTTGGGAGAGGTGTGGGGACACCTGAAGGAGGACTTCCTGGAAGGGGATGGGCTGGAGCAGAGCCTTCTGAGGCCAGAGTGATCTTGTAGATGGAGAGAAGGTTCTCCATGTGGCAGGGGCTGGCAGAGGCAGCTGCCCAGACAGGTCATAACTCTCTAGGTGCCCAATTACCTGCCCTCGGTGAGCTCGGCCATCGGCGGGGAGGTGCCCCAGCGCTACGTGTGGCGTTTCTGCATCGGCCTGCACTCGGCACCTCGCTTCTTGGTGGCCTTCGCCTACTGGAACCACTACCTCAGCTGTGCCTCCCCGTGTTCCTGCTACCGCCCACTCTGCCGCATCAACTTCGGCCTCAATGTCGTGGAGAACCTCGCGTTGCTAGTGCTCACTTACGTCTCCTCCTCTGAGGACTTCAGTGGGTGCCTGGATGAGGGAGGAGTGGGGAGGGGTTCCCTGAGGGGACGGGCCTGCCCCTACCACATTCAGACTTTCCTACTTAGTGGTGTGGGCACTCCCTGCAATAGGGACCTTCCTACTTAGTGTGGTGGGCACTCCCTGCAATGCGGCTCCCAATCCTCTTTCCCTCCAGCCATCCACGAGAATGCTTTCATTGTGTTCATCGCCTCATCCCTCGGGCACATGCTCCTCACCTGCATTCTCTGGCGGCTGACCAAGAAGCACACAGTAAGTCAGGAGGTACGGTCTATCCCTAGCGGGGGCTCCAAGCAGCCCAGAAGAAAATCAAGGACATCTGTCCTCAGGATCCGGGTAATGGTGAGGTGGGAACTGAGTTCTAATGGGAACCCTGGCAAAGGGATGTTGGGGTTCGGGCTGGGTCTTGGGGACAAACCAAGGATGGTTGGTCAGAATCTAGGACTGTAGCACTGTGTTTGGGTAGTGTGGGAGATGAGAATGGAAGATATGAAGGCTACAAATGGGGGTAAGAGGAGTTGCATCTAGACGGCAGTGAGTTAGGAACAGTGTCTGGGGACTGTAGTCTGTCCTAATTCCAGCACCCCGCCCATGTCCATGTGTTTTTTTCCCCCCACAGTATTTGGAGGTTGGGTTGGTGGGTGACTCCATATAACTTTCATACTTCATCCCCCTGAAGTGGGAGGGGCACGAGTACCACTGCTCCCCTAGCCCTTCACTCCCCCAGAGGCAGGATCCTGAACTTGTTCCTCATTCTGGCTTCTCCTGCCTGTGCTCCCTTCCATGACCGCTAGTGGGAGCCAAGGGAGATAAGGTCCAGCCCTTAGGAGCTAGGGCTGGGCGGGGAGCCTACACCCTCATACCCAGCAAACTGCAGAGTGATCAAACAGCCTATTCTCTAGGATCGCAAGTCCTACAGCTGGAAACAGCGGCTCTTCATCATCAACTTCGTCTCCTTCTTCTCGGCGCTGGCTGTCTACTTTCGGCACAACATGTATTGTGAGGCTGGAGGTGAGGCCAGGATAGAATCCATAAGTGGTCATGACTGGCTGTGGGGCAGCAGTGATATTTTCGATAATGGGCAGTGGTCTTGGGGACTGGCTGCCATTGTGTTGCCAGTGGCAGACTAATGGTGGTGTGATTTATCAAGAGGCTCCTGAGTGGGGTAGCAAGAGGTTCACCATGCCCTGTTCCTTGTGTCCTCACAACAGTGTACACCATCTTTGCCATCCTGGAGTACACTGTTGTCCTAACCAACATGGCGTTCCACATGACGGCCTGGTGGGACTTCGGGAATAAGGAGCTGCTCATAACCTCTCAGCCTGAGGAAAAGCGATTCTGAACACTTCAATCCTGCTTGGGAGGCAGCCCACTGCCCAGAAACAAGAAACAAGATACCATTCTGGCCTTCCCCACCCCACATCCTCTCTTGGCCTTACTGAAGATGGGGGAAGGGTAAGAAGGGCATAGGCCAAGGCTCACCCCAGTGCTGCTGGCTTCTCTCCACCCCTCATATGGGCATAGGGGTCCTCAAGCAACATCACCTTTACCTGAGAGGCCCCAAGAAGCTGAGCTGAGCTGGCAGAGCGCTCCAACATTTGGTGCTAAAAAAAATGTCCTGAGGTTCATGACCACCATCCAGTTTCTGGCCTTTACATAGCTACCTTTCACTAAGGTCAGGAGCCCCTGAGCAGTGGCTGCTCCCTGACAACCACAGCCATTTCTCTCCACGGGGTCATTCACATGACTAATGTATTTCATTATCTACTGCACACATCCAGGCCTGTGGCCATAGTCCCCTGCTAAAGCTGCTCAGGTGTTCTAGATTTCACCCTTTTGATTTGGTATGTGCCCTAGGGTATGTACCCTTCCCTGTCTAAGCATCAGCATGTCCATGTGTCTGATGGGAGATGGGTGGGCTGTATGATTTCCAATACCAGTCTGTGGTTCTGATGTCATCGGGTGGTGGTGGTGGTGTATACCTAAAGGATGACCTGCTACAGAAAAAGCACCAGCACAGCATGTATTTTCTTCTCTCTTCTGAAAGTTCTGGCTTACAGACCCCTTCCCTCCTTTGAAAGGTATGGCATAGAGGAGTCAGATGCAGATCCCTACCCTAAAATGGGCTCCCAGGTATCTCCTGTCTTCCCTACTGCTCCAAACCCTAAGTTTTGGTTGTGCATTTTAAAGGAAAATAAATTTTCTATTTTTTTTTTTTTTTTTTTTTTTTTTTTTGGCCAACAGTTGCCTGGGCTTGCTAGTCTTGGGGCTCATCTTGTTTGATAGTAACAAGAGAGGAACAGGCTCAACGATGGAAAGTTCACAGCAGGGCATGATTCCTAGCAGCACCCCTTAGGTCTGGAGTCTCCTAAGGCTAGTCCAAGTGTCTGTTTTGGTGTCCAGGAGTGACTGAGCTATCTGTAATGATTCCAGGACTGGAAGCTAGGAAACGTGGAAGTCTTCAGTTAGGCAGAGACCTGAGTTCAAACCCAAACTCTTGTTAAAGCTCTGTCTTCTTGAGGATTTGAGATATAGCTCTCAGATGCATGACTAAGAGCATCTGCCTTTAGGCTAATGGCTCTCAATTGCTCACTTTCTGAGCCCTAAGATAAAGAAATCTTTCCTCAAGTTTGGTGTCCAAGTCCACTACAGCATCTGTGACTAGGCACCAGAGCAAGGCTGCCCCTCTGGGAGTCTAGAGCTTTGTTAGGGAAATTGGGGGGTGAGGGGAGCCTAGAGCTTTGATAGGGAAATTAGGGGGTGAGGGGAGCACAATGAAGCCTATTGTTTACTAGAAGAAACAAAAGGCTCCCAGTCTCTGGGGAGCCCTAGCCCATGCCCACCCCCTAATGCCCAGCACACAGGGAGGAGCCGGGGCCACTGGAGACAGGAGGTTTTATTGATGCTGATGGGGATAGGAAAGGCCTCCAGAAGCATGGGGGCTGAGTCAGTCAGCGAATGCATAAGGCCTGGGCACAGAGGAACAGGTTAGGGCACAATCACCTCAGGATTCTGTGGCTCCCTCCTTGGAGAAGGCAGAGAGCATCTTGGGGGTACAATTCCAAGAGCAGCGAGGGCAGAGGTTAGAGATGGCTGAGAGCCCCTAACCTGAGGAGGTACCACAATAGGCAGCAACAACTGTGTGGAAAGCTGGATGAACTGGTCAGTAGCGGAAAACGGGAGAGGGGGCACTGGGTTGGCCTCTTGGGGAGGGCTCCAACCCTGGCTTGGGTGAGCTTGTGAGAATACCCGGTGTTCCTAAGCAGAGGGGGGCAGAGCCCAAAGCCCCTTTCTCTGCAGGCCTCTTTAAGGAGAGAAAGGCACTCAGAGAAAAAGGCATTCAGTGAGCCCCCTGGAAAGGGGTGCCAGAATTAGTCCTTAAGGCACAGCTGGGGCAGACAAGGCGCCAAGGCACAACTGGTGGGGGGAGGGCAGGGGCAGCCTCCAAGCCGAGTGCCAGGGTCACAAGAGGACGCAGGACCGCCCACGCTTGATCGGCGTGGGGTTGAGCACAGCCCGGACAGCCTCAGCAAACACTTCCTTGACACCATCCTGCTGCAGGGCAGAGCATTCGAGGTAGCGCACGGCGTGGATCTGCTTGGCCAGTGCCTGGCCCTGCTGCGGTGTGATGGGCGCCTGGCCCTGCTCCTTGAGACGCCGTAGGGTGTCAGGCTGGGCTCTCAGGTCCTTCTTGGTGCCCACCAGCAGGATGGGCACATCAGGGCAGTGGTGGCACACCTCTGGATGCCACTTGTGCCGCACGTTCTCATAGGAGGGCGGACTGGCAATGGAGAAACAAATGACGAAGACATTGGTCTGAGGGTAGGAGAGTGTACGGAGGCGGTCATACTCCTCCTGGCCCGCAGTGTCCCACAGGTTCAGGTTCACTGTGCGCCCGTCAACTGCGCTCTGAGCACTATAATTGTCGAACACGGTGGGGATGTACTCTTTGGGGAAAGCATTAGTTGTGTAGCAGATGAGCAGGCATGTCTTGCCCACAGCCCCATCACCCACAACCACACACTTGATACTCTGCATCGTGGGTGCAGTTGCTGTAGTGGAGGCAGTGCCTCCTCTCTCTTCTGGACCCCTCTGGCTGCAGTGACCTGTAGACAGATGAAAGGCGACAGTCTTGGTTGGGGGGGTCCCTCTGCTTATTAGGAAGAAAGGATGGGGGCACACAAAGGGAAACCAGCTCCTGTTCCCTTAATCTGACACTATCCCAAAGTCCCATCAAGACAGTCATCAGAAAGATACACAATGAGCCAGGCATGGTGGCTCACACCTGTAATCCCAGCACTTTGGGAAGCTGAGACAGGGCATAGGGAGCGGGGGAAATCACCTCAGGTTGGGAGTTCAAGACTAGCCTGACCAACCCTGTCTCTACTACAAATACAAAATTTGGAGAAACCCTGTCTCTACTACAAATACAAAATTAGCCAGGTGTGGTGGTGCATGCCTGTAATCAGCTACTCAGGAGGCTGAGGCAGAAGAACTGCTTAAATCCAGGAGGCAGAGGTTGTGGTGAGCTGAGATTGCCCCATTATACTCCAGCCTGGGTAACGGGCAAAACTTCGTCTCACACAAAAAGAAAACCCACAATGAAAGGCCCTGAGACCAAGCAAGATGCACAATAATGTGGTAGAAAGCACATAAGCTCTGGCGCCAGACAAACTAAGGTCAAATCCTGGTTTTGCGATTTCCTAGCTGTGTAACAGTGAACAAATTGCTTAATTCTCTATGCCTAAATTTTCTCACCAGCAAAATGAGGATAAAATAGTATCTACCTCATTGGGTCATTGTGAGGATTATATAATACATGTAAAGCATTTAAAACTGCCTTGTCCATAAGTATTAGCTATTTTTTTTTTCCAGGCTATACAGACACAAAAGGAGTGCGCACAAATTTAGGGATCTACTAGATCCTCTACTAAATATGGACCCTTCCCACCAGGAAACTGTAAAGGGATTCTGACACAGGACAGCTGTCCCAGGTCACTCTGTAATGCAGCCATGGGTAGAACCTCTCTCAACTCAGGGCCCACCCTGCCCTCTCCAAACCTGGTATCTTGGCTACTTGAGTACAAACCAAAAGGCACAGTAAGAAACCTGCTGAGTAAGGGCTTAATTCTTTAGAGAGCTGCCCTATCCCAATCCAGGCAGTGGGGAAATCACCAGAAAATTTTTTTTTTTTTTTTGTGACAGAGTCTCATTGTGTCGTCTAGGCTGGAGTGCAGTGGCACGATCTCAACTCATGCAACCTCTGCCTCCTAGGATCAAGCAATTCTTCTGCCTCAGCCTCGCGAGTGGCTGGGACTACAGACACGCGCCACTGCATCCAACTAGTTTTTATATTTTTAGTAGAGATGGAGTTTCACCATGTTAGCCAGGCTGATCTCAAACTCCTGACCTCAAGTTATCCACCTGCCTCGACCTCCCAAAGTGCTGGGATTACAGGAGTGAGCCACCATACCCGGACATCCCATCATTCTTTTTTTTTCTTTTTCTCTGAGATGGAGTTTTGCTCTTGTTTCGCAGGCTGGAGTGCAATAGTGCAATCTCGGCTCACTGCAACCTCTGCCTCCTGGGTTTAAGTGATTCTCCTGCCTCAGCCTCCTGAGTAGCTGGGATTACATGCATGCGCCGCCACGCCCAGTAGAGATGTGATTATTTTTAGTAGAGACGGGGTTTCTCTGTGTTGGTCAGGCTGGTCACGCCATCATTCATATAAGTATTAAAAACCGTATCTGGCCACACACACTCAGGTTGCCAATTCAATGCAGGGGAATACTGGAGATTCAGTTAGACCTGGGATTTAGACTAGGATCTGCGTATGTTATAATGAATGAGATAGAGGCTGAGGCTCCCAGACATTGGTTATCTTCTCTCAAGGTTCTTGGTGTGGTGGAGCAAATCTTTCAAGCCCAACTAGGAGGGATGAAGTGAAGAATAAGGCAAAAACTTGACTTTTCCCTCAATCTTCTGTCCATTTCCTGAGACCTGGCATGTGCCTCTGAAAGATTTTAGAGGCTTCTAGACTCTTGGGTAGAAAATACCATCATTGGCCGGGCGCGGTGGCTCAAGCCTGTAATCCCAGCACTTTGGGAGGCCGAGGCGGGTGGATCACGAGGTCGAGAGATCGAGACCAACCTGGTCAACATGGTGAAACCCCGTCTCTACTAAAAATACAAAAAATTAGCTGGGCATGGTGGCGCGTGCCTGTAATCCCAGCTACTCAGAAGGCTGAGGCAGGAGAATTGCTTGAACCCAGGAGGCGGAGGTTGCAGTGAGCCGAGATCGCGCCATTGCACTCCAGCCTGGGTAACAAGAGCGAAACTCCGTCTCAAAAAAAAAAGAAAATACCATCATTAAGAACAAAAAAAAAAAAGAAAGAAAGAAAAAAGAACGTAGATGCAGCCGTGTGTGGTGGCTCACGCCTGTAAACCCAGCACTTTGGGAGGCCAAGGTGGGTGGATTATGAGGTTGGGAGTTCGAGACTAGCCTGGCCAACATGGTGAAACCCCATCTCTACGAACAACACACAAAATTAGACAGGTGTGGTGATGGCCACCTGTAATCCCAGCTACTTGGGAGGCTGAAGCAGGAGAATCGCTTAAACCTGGGAGGTGGAGGTTGCAGTGAGCTGAGATTGCGCCATTGCACTCCAGCCTGGGTGACAGAGTGAGACTCTGTCTCAAAAAAAAAAAAAACAAAAAAAAAAACCCACACAGATTCTAGAGTAAGACTGGCAGAGATTCTAATCACAGCTCCACCAACTGGTTATATGTGATCTTGGCAATATGTTTAAGTTCCCTGAGCCTCAATTTTCTCATCTGTAATATGGGGATAATCTTGCCTATTGCATTAAAATTGCTCAGAATACAAAATAAGGCCCAGCACAGTGGCTCATACCTGTCATCCTAGCACTTTGGGAGAGTGAGGCAGGTGGATCGCTTGAGTCCAGGAGTTTGAGACTAGCCTGGGCAATATGGCAAAACCCTGACTCTACAAAAAATGAAAAAATTACCAGTCGTGGTGGTACATGCCTGTAGTCCCAGCTACTCTGGAGGGTGAGGTGGGAGCATCATCTGATCCCAGGGAGGTCAAGGGTGCAGTGGGCTATGATTGCGCCACTGCACTCAGCCTGTGCGACAGAGCAAGACCCTGTCTCAAAAAACAAGTAAGAGTTAATAATGTATAGAAGGTGTCCAG